TATCCTTCCATCTGATTCTGTTCTTGTGGATTTGAGGTTGAGAGAGATACTGTCTAACTGTCCTAGGAGCCGCTGAGAAGTTTGCATAAAGCTGGGAGAGATTGTGGATGTGGAGGATATTTCCAGTTGGCCAGGAAGGGAAACTGAGGCACAGATCTTCTGTCCGCAATTGACCCTAAGACGGGCACTATTTCTGCACGTCTCCGCATCCACTTCACTGAGCCCAACACCTAGAACCCTGGTTATGCGCTGCCGCTGACTCTCCCCTCCTGAGCCAGGCTCCCTCCCCCAGCTCCCTCTCTTACACATCTTCTCTAAACTGTGCCGTTTCCTTCTTAACATCTGTCAAGCGTGATGGTAATGGGAAGCTGGGCCTGGTGGAATTCAACATCCTGTGGAACCGAATCCGAAATTACCTGGTAGGTGGTCCCTGGCTGGCTTCTGCTGCCCCTCACGGCATGGCCAGGCCTGGTGGCAGAGCCCAGGCTAGCTGTGTAGCCAGGTCTTCCTCTAGAACTTCCTTTCTGTGTGCATCTCAGCAAATGACCCCCTGCTGGCCATTCCCCTGCCCTTCACTCTCCCTGGGACAGGAGGCAGTCATGAAGGGCTGCTGACTCACCCAGTCCTCTCCCTTTGCTCTCCATCCAGACCATTTTCCGGAAGTTTGACCTGGACAAATCTGGCAGCATGAGTGCCTACGAGATGAGGATGGCCATTGAGGCTGCAGGTGAGCCCAAGGCTGATGGCCCCACTGCTCCTGAGCCCCAGGCTGCCTCCCTGACAGCTCTCAGGCCAGTGGACCATCTGCCTGGCCCTTGTCGCTGGGGGATGTTGGTGGTGATGCTACAGGTGCTGTGGTTACTGAGCAAAGTACTCCATCTGTTCATCTCTTTCCTCTCATCAGAACCTAAAGAAAACAAGGGACTTTAATTAATTTGTGCATGTGTATGTGTGTGCATGTATGTATTTATGTTCATATGTGTGTAGACATACACAGAAGCCAGAGGTTGAAATCATCTGTCTTCCTCCACTGCTCCTACTGAGACAGGGTCTCTCACTGAACCTGGATCTCACAGACTACCCTAGTTTATCTATTCTGCTTTCCCCTTCTGCCTCCCATGTGAATGCTGGGATTACCTGCAGTCTACCACACCCTTGGTTTTTTGTTTTGTTGTTGTTGCTTTGTTTTGTTTTTGAGACAGGGTTTCTCTGTGTAAGGGTTCTGGGATCCAAGTGCTTTATCTGTGGAACCTCCAATCAGAGCCCTTTGTTATCCCCAATGTGAAGAAGGGGAAGTAATTCTCAGGGGGAGAGTGACGGAGTTCAGGAAACAATAGGGCAGGCAGAGAGGATGGGCAGCTCCAGTGAGTCAGGCGTAGGACTCTCCCACACTGGCCTGTGGAAAACAACCAGGATGTTTTCCCAAATGTGACCAGATGCCTAGTCCTCTGCAGCCAGCTCCCGATTTCCCAGGGTGAGCTGGGTGCTGGGTGTGATGTGTCGTCCCCCCCTCGCGCGCTCACTTGCCCAGCCCCTCTCAGTTTTACCCAAGAGGTCTTCCAGACTTCTTCCGGCAGAAGTTCGGCCCTCAGCACCCTGTGTAGACCGCTCCTCCACTGCCTGTGTGGCTGTGCCTGCTCCGGCCCTCACTCGCTCTTCTTCCTCTGTGCAGGCTTCAAGCTTAACAAGAAGCTGCACGAACTCATCATCACCCGCTACTCAGAGCCTGACCTGGCCGTGGATTTCGACAACTTCGTGTGTTGCCTCGTGCGACTGGAGACCATGTTCCGTGAGTGTCCCTAACTGACCCTGCTTTCCCACAGTGCTCACAACGTGTCCTCAAAGGCAGTGGGAGAGACAGGAGTGACTAGGGTGCAGGCTGAGTGGGGACAGAGGACTTACATATGGGCACTTGGTGTATGAGGTGGGCGGACGAAGGCCTAAGGAGGCCTCTTAGGGCAGGGAGCTTCATGGCTTTAAGGGGCCATGGGCTGCATGGGAGGTAGGAGGTAGTCTTGCTGGATTTTAACTGGCCGATGTTCCAGACTTAATTCATCTGTTCTTAAACACAGGGTTTTTCAAAGCTCTGGACACAGACCTGGATGGTGTTGTTACCTTTGATCTGTTTAAGGTGAGATGGCCTCCATATTCACCTGTCTCTTCCAGGGCAAACGTCCATGACCCTGAAACCAGTGCCCAAATCTGAGCCCCAGTCCTGATTTGGGTCAGGGGCTCCTGGAGCCTGGGGAAAAAATGACCTCTTGGGGAAGGCCAGGCTCATAGAAGCTGTGGGAGCCCCCAGGCTGGTCCCCTGGACTAGAGAAGCAAGAAAGCATCCCCTCCCGAGCATGGTGGTGCACACCTCTAATCCCTGCACTGGGAAGGCAGAGGCAGGTGGATCTCTGAGTTCAAGGTCAGCCTGGTCTACAGAATGAGTTGCAGGACAACCAGGACTGTTACACAGAGAAACCCTGTCTCAAAAAAACCATCATAATAATAATAATAATAATAATAATAATAATAATAATAAATCACTCATCACCAGAGGGCATGGGATGTGGATGGTAAGAGCTGAGACCTGGGTCTGGATCCTATGTTCTGGGATGGGCGAAGAAGGGGTCTGAAGGGGCCATGCTGCCCTTCTGCTGCTCGCAGTAACCTGTCCATCTTACCCTGCAGTGGTTACAGCTGACTATGTTTGCATGAAGTGGGGATTCTACTCCCATTGCCGTGTTCTTCCTTCCTTCTTCTGCCAAGCCATGCCTTCCTGCCATGCCACACCAGGCCACATCAGCTGCAAGTGCCTTCCTTGGAACAGGAAGCTACCCTTGTCCTCCTGTCCTTTCTGCTCCCCACTACCTCTATTCAGCTCTCTGGGCAGAGTCATGGGACCCTCCCTGCCTCAGTGGCCAAAGGCTCTGGACCCTGCTCATGTCTAAGCCAGGAGGGCAGATCCCTGCTTATTCCTTCCTGTGGGACAGGAGCAGGCACCCCTGCCCCAACCTCTGCTAGTGTGTGGATGTGTGTCCTTCCTAATCTGTACAGGCCATAGCCCCTGCTATCCCCAGACCTGCAGACTTTATAACCACAGGCTAGCCCACACCGTCTGCATCTGGGTAGAAAGCCTCTCCTCACAGTCAGGGTCACCTGTGCCTTCCTGTGCAGCAGCCAAGATCCCCTCTGCAAACCACTCCTCTGCTGCCCTGTGTGCCCGCCAGGAACTTCCTGGGCTGGAGAGTGCTCGGCCCTCCCTCTCTCCCCTCCTCCCTTTTTTATAATGGTCATTTTCAAGGGAATGCTTGAAGGACTAGTGCACTGGCTATGGAGGACCAGGCACTGGGGGTGGGGTAGGGAGGTCCCATGTTTCATTGTGGTGGAAAAATAAAAGAAAAATCAGCACATCTGTCTCTGGGTATCATTCTCCCAACCCTTGATTGTACCAGCAAGCCTTGGCCTAGAGACAGTCATAACCTCATGCTCACCCTAGCTGAAGACTGGGGGCATCTGGTTGTGGCTACCTCTGCCCCTGAGATGTTGAGAAGGTCTGGGCACAGATGTGGACTTGATGGTTCCATTGGCCGTCCAACCCTGGTGGCTTTTCTAGTGTCAAATGCCCTTCATGAGGTCAGACCCTGCCTCTTCCTTCTTCCAGTGTTGGCAAGGAAACATAAAACCCCTACTTAGCACAAATCTGACCCACCAGGAAGCTCGGGGAGGCGTGGCCTCCCACCTCAGCCACACTGGGACACCCACAGCTTACATAAGCTGTTCTGCCTCTGGCTCTTCTTTCCAGGAATAAGAGTAAAAGGTCATCCTCAACTACATATAGCCAGACTGGCTATGTGAGACCCTACGGAGAGAAGAAGAGAGGGGAGGGGAGGGGAGGAAAGATGCGAGGAGGAAATAAATAAATACATAAATTTAAGATTTATTTATTTTATTGTGTGTATGGTGTTCTGCCTGCATGTTAGAACTGGGCACCAGATCTCATTACAGATGGTTGTGAGGCACATGTGACTGCTGAGAATTGAACACAGATCCTCTGGAAGAGCAGTCAGTGCTCTTAACCTCTCAGCCTTCTCTCTAGCCACAGAAACATTCCTGATAACGAAAGAGACAGTGTCCTGAGTTTGCTAGTCACCGGCTCACTGGGAGCCCCCAGGCCCAGTCTCTACTGGCCTCCTCTCCTCTCCAGCAGGGGGCTGCTTTGTGAGGAAGGTCCTGGAGGGAGGAGGGGTGGATGGTGGACTCCTCCCAACCTTCTGGCTCTCTCTAGAGTGACTTTAATTTGCTGAGAGGTTATTGGCTGGTGAGTGGGGACAGTCTGAATGCACCCTGACCCCAAGCTGAGGCCCTGAATTTGCTTCTTGGTTGCCCTGTTTGGTTTATTTTGTTGTGTTGTGTTTGATTTCTTTCTTTCTTTCTTTTTTTTTTTTTTTTTTTTTTTTTTTGGTTTTTCGAGACAGGGTTTCTCTGTAGCTTTGGAGGCTGTCCTGGAACTCACTCTGTAGACCAGGCTGGCCTCGAACTCACAGAGATCCGCCTGCCTCTGCCTCCCGAGTGCTGGGATTAAAGGCGTGCGTCACCAACGCCCGGCCTTGATTTATTTCTTATTTAAAACATATTATATTCAAGAGCCAGGTGCACACCCTTTAATCCCAACACTTGGGAGTAAGAGGCAGGCAGATCTCTGAGTTCCAGGCCACCCTGATTGACAGATGGAATTCCAGAACAGCCAGGGCTCCACAGAGAATCTCTGTCTCGAAACACAAACAAACAGAAAAACAAGTGCATGATAGATACCATGGCCATCTTTTTTTAGTGTGTTCTGAGTTTAAATACAGGGCTTTATTCTTGTAAGATAAGCAAGCAGTTCACTGACCTTGGCTTTCCTAACACAAGATGGAGAGGACTGGAGGACAGGCCTGGAGGAGGGGCACCCTGCAGATACAGGGACACTTAGGCCTCCTGTGTGGTGTAACTGAATCCCTCTGAGCTGCAGTGTAGAGGGCCTGTGTGGTCCTAACCCCTGGCCTGTTCCTCCACCTCCCAGTCCCCTCCCCTCCCCTTTTACATAAGGCCTGGGCACACAGGACCTTGAGTAGGACCTCTGGCCATGGCCTTCACAGACCTGCTGGATGCCTTGGGGGGTGTGGGTCGCTTCCAGATTGTCTACACAGCTTTGCTGCTGCTGCCCTGTGGGCTGCTGGCATGCCACACCTTCCTGCAGAGCTTCACGGCTGCTACAGCCCCTCACCACTGCCGGCACCCTGCCAACTACACAGAGGCTAGCACCAATGACTCAGGGGCCTGGCTGATGGCCACCATTCCCCTGAACCAGCATGGGGTCCCTGAGCCCTGCCTGCGCTACACAGAGCCTCAGTGGGCCCTTCTGAAATCCAATGCCTCCCCCCATGCAGTGGCCACAGAGGACTGCAAGGATGGTTGGGTCTACGACCGAAGCGTTTTCCCATCTACCATTGTGATGGAGGTCAGAGGTGGGTGGGAGGCTTGGGGTGCTGGGGGAGACTGCTGCCTCAGGACAAGGCCTAGCATTCCTCTCTCCCTGATAGTGGGACCTGGTGTGTGAGGCCCGGACCCTCCGGGACCTGGCTCAGTCTGTCTACATGTCTGGGGTGCTGGTAGGCGCTGCTTTGTTTGGTAGCCTCGCAGACAGGTGAGTGTTTAGGGGAAACCCTTGCATTCCTTTTTTCTTTCTCTCCTTCCTCTCTTCCTGTTTCTTCTCACGTGTATGTGTGTGCATATTTGTATAAATGTAATGAGTTTGTGTATGTATCTGCGAACATTTTTCTTTCTGTTTTTTGGATTTTGAAGACAGACTTGATCTGTAGACTAGGCTGGCCTTGAAATCACAGACATCCTCCTGCCTCTGCCTGTCAAGTGCTGGGATTAAAGGCTCACACTATCACAGTCCCGGGAAAGTTTTTCTTTTACTTTTTGAATTTCTGAACTTCCTGCCTCCACTTCCCAATGCTGGGATCACAGGCATGTGCCTCTGGGTCTTTTCAAAATCTCCACGATCCCCCAACCTGGACCAAGTCCCTCAAACTCTGATTTTCTTCCATACAAGTCCCTCTGCTCCTGACCAGCCTTGGACACCAGTACTGGGAGCCTGGCAGTTGCATGTGCTATTTTATTTAGTGGGGTGGCTTTTACTGGGCTTCTCATCGTCCCCTTGTTTGCTTTAGTGTCTTTGCCAAGGCAGAAGGGTCAGGCACAGGTTTTGTTCCCTTGGGGTTATCTAGCCACCTTGGGATTCCATAGCCCCTCACTGTTTGGGCGCAGGTTGGGTCGCAAGGCCCCACTGGTCTGGTCATACCTGCAGCTGGCAGTTTCGGGGGCTGCCACAGCATATGTCGGCTCCTTCAGCGCCTACTGTGTATTCCGGTTCTTGATGGGCATGACCTTCTCTGGCATCATCCTCAACTCCCTCTCTCTGGGTGAGTGCAGTCCAGGTGGGACCCAGGGGGTTGGGGTCATGAGAAGGGGAAATCACAGCCATTGTAGGACATCTTCTTAAATTTTGTTTTGTGGAATTCTTTTTTTTGTTGTTGTTTTGTTTGTTTTGTTTTTGTTTTTCGAGACAGGGTTTCTCTGTGGCTTTGGAGGCTGTCCTGGAACTCGCTTGGTAGTCCAGGCTGGTCTCGAACTCACAGAGATCCACCTGTCTCTGCCTCCCGAGTGCTGGGATTAAAGGCGTGCGCCACCAACGCCCGGCTGTTTTGTGGAATTCTTATCCAGAAACCTCAACTCAAAGCCTCCTACCCAGGGGTCTGGAATTGTAAAACTGAATGTCCTGAGTCAGAATGTGGGGCTTCTGTTGGATTGTCCCCTCCTTCGTCCGTGTGTGTGTGTGTGTGTGTGTGTGTGTGTGTGTGTGTGTGTGCGCGCGCGCCCTTCTGCTCATTAACACACTCATGTGGTTTAGGCAAGACACACACTTGCTATTTAACTGAGGATGACCTTGATCTCCTGATCTCCCTTCTTCCTTTTCCTGTGCCTGGATTACAGGTTTGAGCAACCATAGATTCCTGGCTCCTTAGGAGATCATTCTATCTCATGGTCCTTTGTCCCAGTCACCTATGTGACCCTACCTAAGTCTGGCATGTTGTAGACAATTAGTGGCTATTGCTGAGAAACTCTCAAAGGAAATCAACCTGACCCTTGCAGTTCACAGATCAGTAAACTGAAACTCAGGCCCAAGAAAGGCCACCAGGGTCCACTGCCACTGCTGCCAGGGGACAATCCAACAGAAGCCCCACACTCTGACTCAGGACATTCAGTCTTACAATGAAACAATAGTAGTCTGGTGTCCTATAATGACCTGCCATAGGCCACATTGGAGTATTGTCTAGGTAAATCTTGGTGTGGGGTTTAAGTTGCCACAGTCATGAGGAAGGGACAGGTGAACTAAACAGCTGTGGGGTGGATCAGTCACTCAAGCTGGCCACGTTTCCTCCACAGTTGTAGAGTGGATGCCGACCAGGGGCCGGACAGTGGCGGGCATCTTGCTGGGCTTCTCCTTCACCTTGGGCCAGCTCATCCTGGCTGGCATGGCACACCTGATCCGCCCCTGGCGGTGGCTGCAGTTTGCTGTCTCTGCTCCTTTCCTGGTCTTTTTCCTCTACTCTTGGTATGTCCAGCAGAGGTGGGTTTGGGTGGGGGTATGCATCTGTGTGGCTCAGCTCTGACGTGGCTTCTTGATAGGTCAGAGTGTTTAGTGTCTTCCATGTGCTGAACACAGAGAACAGAAGGTAATATGAGGGTCACAGGAGCTCTGGTACTCATGAATGGCTTTAGGGACTCTGGCAAAACTCTTACCCTGGCATGGAGCTCTGGAACACACAAAATTATTTGGCTGTATCAACTCCAGTATACTTCACAACAACCCCATGGTGTTTTGTAAGAGGGGAACTGAGGTAGAGCCCCCAGAGGGTCCATGATATCTCCAAGGCCACACAGTTAGAGTAGGAACCAGATTAGATACCAAGTGTGTCTTGGTTTTGAAGGACTCTTCAGTGATTCTCTGTACAATATGCTTTTTTAAAAGATGGAAAATAGGTGGGCAAGATAGAAGATAGCTCAGCAGGGTAAAGGCACTTGCCTTCAAGTTTAACAACCAGAGTTCACTTTCTGTAACCTACCCACATTCTGGGACCCACCCACATAGTGGAATTTTTAAAAAATCAAGAGGGAGTATTGTGTTGGGTTTTGTGGTGCACACCTGTCTTTCCCACACTATGGAGGCAGAGTCTGAAGGACCAGGAGTTTGAGGCTAGCCTGGGCTATCTAGGGAGAACCTGTCTCACACACAAAGCCAACAACAACGAAGGGGATGCTGGTGGCATGTTCTGGCTGTGAAGCAGGAGACCATGCCATCTGCCTTAGGGTCTGGTATGAGGCAATGAAGATGTGTTGGGGTTGTGGGTGGGAATGATCCTTCTGTGTCCCAGGTGGCTTCCAGAGTCATCCCGATGGCTCCTCCTTCACGGCAAGTCCCAGCAAGCTGTGCAGAACCTCCGGAAGGTGGCCATGATAAATGGCAGGAAGGGGGAAGGGGAAAGGCTGACTATAGAGGTAAGCAGGTGTGTGAGCAGAAAGCTGGGGTAGGTTTTTGTGGTATTAACAGCTTCCGGTTATGCTGCAACCTGTCTGGCCAGGACTTACCTGCCTGCCATCCCAGTGCAGACTGGTGACCACACTCAGGGCAGGTAGGGTATGAAGTGTTGAGTATGGGGCTGGGGAGGTGCCTTAGAGAACAAAGTATTTATTGTACGAGCATGAGAATCCCAGTTGAATCCCTAGCATGCTGTGGGGGGACCAGGTGTGATGATTACCGCCTGCAGGGTAGAGAGAGGTGGACCCCAGGGACTCACTTGTCAGCCAGCCTGTCTGCAATGCAATGCTAAGTTCTAGGTTCAGTGACAAAACCTGGAACTTCAAAAACGTTTTTCATAGTCAGGCATGGTGGCACTCACTTTTAGTCCCAGCAATTGAGAGGCAGAGGCAGGCAGATCCCTGAGTTCAAAGCCAGCCTATTCTAAAGAGAGAATTCCAGGACAGCCAGGGATACAGTGAAACCCTGTCTTTGGGGGCAGAAAAAGGAAAAGGAAAGAAATATGCACAGAAAACACACATGTGATTATCAACATTTGTCTCCCACATGTGAGTTTATGCACACATGAGCACACTCATATAGCACACACATGAGGAGGAGGAGAGAGAAAGAGGAAGAAGGAGGAGGAGGAGAAAGAAAACCAACCAGATGGGGCCAGTGAGAGTGCTCAGTGAGAGTGCTCAGTGAGCTCGGTCCTCGCTGTCTCACCTGATGACCTGAGTTCTCTCCTCAAGACCCACACGAAGGAGAGAACTGATGCTAAAAGTTGTGCTCTGGATCTACACACATGCTGTAACACCTGTGTGCTCACACACAAAATAATAAATGTAACAAAAAACTGGAAAAAGGGGCTGGAGAGATGGCTCAGCGGTTAAGAGCACTGACTGCTCTTCCAAAGGTCCTGAGTTCAATTCCCAGCAACCACATGGTGGCTCACAACCACCTTGAATGAGATCTGAGGCCCTCTACTGGCCCGCAGGCAGAAGATTTGTATACATAATAAAAAAAAAAAAACTGGAAAAAGAAGGAAACAGACGTTGAGGTTTGGCTAGGCCTGGTAATTTGCCTGTGAGCACACGGTAGGGTTGTATTGGAGATGGAAGCTAGGCCTTGCACATGCTAACCCAGTGCTCTAACAGCTAACTCCAGCCAACTGTTTTTAACCACTCTGTGACATTATGGTGACGTTACCAGGAGTTAGGTGAGTGTATCTCTAATACCACAGAACCTCAGGATTTCTGGGGTGCATGTTGCAAGCTCCCTATCTCAAAATCATGCAAGCAGTTTCTAAAGGCCACTGGTTCCATACTAAAAGGAGGAAAAGGCAAGATACCATCCCAAGAACCACAGCCGAAGCTCTGTTTTCTACTGATAACGTAGTCCCCAGCAGGGAAATGGGGTGCCATAACTCTCAACGACCCTGATCAGACATTCCTCATCCAGGTGGTGAGCACCTACATCCACAGTGAATTTGCAAGTGTCCGCACCTCCAACTCTATCTTGGACCTCTTCCGAACCCCAGCCATCAGAAAGGTCACATGCTGTCTCATGGTTGTCTGGTAGGTGACGGGCTCATACCCTATACTTTGTCCTGACATGGGGACATGCTTTCTGCTCTCATTGGTAAACTATGTCGTAAGACAGTTCCAACATCATGAGCAGGTGAGTGTGTGGTTTCAATCTCATGTCACACCCTTTCGAGACCTGGTCCTTAGGGCTGGGGAGATGGCTCAGTGACTAAGAGTGCTTGCTCTACAAGTATGAGGTCCTGAGTTCAAATCCTCAGTACCCGAGTAAAAAGCTGACCATGGCCTGGTGTGCCTGTAATGTTGAATACAAGCAGATCCTGGGGTCTGGCTGAGTGGTCAGCCTGACCAAACTGATCTTCAGGTTCAGGTACAGGAATAAGGCATCAGAAGATAGAGGAGGACAACCCATGTCCTCTGATCATTATATTGTAAACATAGGGAAGCACACTGGCACAGACAGGTGTATACATAAGCAAAGGACACACACACACACACACACACACACACATGCAGCCTAATAAAAAAGGTCACCCCCAGGGATGGAGATACGGCCCAGTAGTTTAGAGTATTTGTTGCTCTTGCAGAGGACCCTGGTTCAATTGCCATAACCTACAAGGTGGCTCAAAACCATCTGTAAATCCAGTCACAGGGGATCTGCTGCTGTGGAATCTCCCTGTCTGTTATTCGGGAACTGTCTGCCAACATCTGCCAATTAAACATGTGGTATACATGCATACATGCCAGCAAAACATTCATACATAAAAATACTTTTTTTTTTTTTGGTTTTTACGAGACAGGGTTTCTCTGTATTGTTTTGGAGGCTATCGGTCCAGCCCGGCCTCGAACTCACAGAGATCCGCCTGCCTCTGCCTCCCGAGTGCTGGGATTAAAGGTGTGAGCCACCATCGCCCAGCATAAAAATACATTTTTGATTAAGGCTACAGCGAGGTGGTGGTGACACACACCTTTAGTCCCAGCACTCAGGAGGCAGAGGCAGGCAGATCTCTGTGGGTTCAAGGCCAGCCTGGTCTACAAAGTGAGTTCCAGAACAGGCTTCAAAGCTACACAGAGAAACCCTGTCTCAAAAAAACAAAACAAAAAAATTGAAGGCTACTCCCAACACCTGGTACTCTGTAGATGCACTAACAGTACAGATGATACATATAGATCTGGAGTGTCCACATCTGAGCAGTCTTACCTGCACACATGTGCACATGAACGCACACGGATACACACATACACAAACTTAAGAAAAGTAAACAAAACTTTTAAAAACTAATGAACAGCAAATAAAAATAATAAATAATTTGACAAATTTATAATTAATTGGTAATTTATAACTTAACAAGTAAATAAAAAGGGGGCTTAGAATGTAGCCCAGTCCTAGAGCACTTGCCCAGCATATACAAGGTGCTAGGGTCAATCACTGACCAAAACAAGACAAAACGAAAAATCCTTACAAACTGAAAGGGCAAGCAGAAAAAAGATGAACATCTTTGCTCTCTCTTCTGCATTTCCTGTACATTAAAATATTTGAAGCTGACTTTGCTGAGGCAGAGGGGCAGGCAATGATTTAGTTCCTGTTGCTGCATGGTCCTTGTGAGTTTCAAAGCCAAGACATACAAAGGGCTTTCAGTATTTGTGACCCCTGACCCCTGACATTCTGTTACCTGATTTGGGGATGTGTCCCCTGGGCTCTGGGAATGGAGAGGTGTCTCCCACTCTGGGGTGGAGAGAACTTGATGATCTGGCTCTGGACAGCAAGAGAGCATTGGTGACCCTAAGACCTCACTGAGGTTTGTTGTAACAGACCCCCCTCCCCTCCACCTGAGCCTGCCCGCTGGTGTTCATCCTCACCTTTCTCTTCCTGCTGGAAAGACACAAACTACCAATTGCAAACTCACCTCTTTTGGATCTTTCTAGAAAGGATTGCCATGGCTCAGGCAGACCCCGGGCCTTGGGTCTTGCTGCAGGATTCTCCAACCAGGCCAACCCCCTTGACGCCTCCTGACTTGTGTAATTTTGGTTTATACAGAAAATCTTGGTTGTTTCAGGCCACATCTGGGTCCAATTGCACCATTTCTGAAGTGTGGAGAGAGGCCCTCCAGGCTGTTTGGGTGGGGGCGGGGACTCCTAGAATCCCTCAAGGACTAGAAGGATGAAAAGGAAGATGAGAACTCATCAGCTTGCACAAATATCTCCAAATCCTGTTGTTTTCTGTTGTGGCTAATTTTCAAATTACAAAAGCAATGCATACTCAAGGTACTTAAAAAAAAGTCAAGACTCTGAGGAACTGACAGCTGGAGTTTGAATCTCAGCACCACCATTTACTGTTTGATCCTGAGCATGTTAATCTCTAGGTTCCTCCGTTTCCCCATCACTCATTAGTGCCATTGTGAAGGTGAGAAGAGCGAATTATATAAAAGTGATATCTGGGATGACAGTGAAAGTTCTCAGCTGGTTGTGGTTGTGCACGCCTTTGATCCCAGTGCTGCAATCACAGGGAGGCAGATCTCTGAGATTTCAAGGCTAGCCTGGTTTACACAGGGAGTGCCAGGCAAGTCAGGGCTACATAGTGAGACTCTATCTTAAGAAAAAAAAGGGACTGTGCTCTCACTTTTGCCCCTCTCTGGAGATTGACCCCAGGGCCAACATGCACACACGTGTGCACATACACATGTGTTCATATAAGTTAATACTCTGTCCTGCTACTTGTTTTTTGGTTTTACCAGACAGGTTTTCTCTGTATTGTTTTGGAGGCTGTCGGTCCAGCCCGGCCTCGAACTCACAGAGATCCGCCTGCCTCTGCCTCCCGAGTGCTGGGATTAAAGGCGTGCGCCACCACCGCCCAGCAAAATATATTTTTCTTTCTTTTTAGATTTTTTGAGTCAGGGTTTCTCTGTGTAGCTTTGTAGGCCAGGCTGGCCTTGAACTCACAGAGATCCACCTGTCTCTGCCTCCCAAGAGCTGGGATTAAAGGCGTGTGCCACCAACACCTGGTGGTGCTACTTGTTTTTTAATGAGTGAATAAAGGAAGGAATATGACAGCTTTGCCAGGTGCAAGGATGTCAGACAGAAAGGAATCATGAGAAACATCTATTCGGTCTGTTCCCCCTGTGCTGGGATCCAGTGTGACAAGACTGTAGCCATCTTGAATGTGACCTCTATTTTCAGCCACCCCTACAGTCCCCCAGCATGCATCCAAACTTAGTAGGGTAAACAAACTTGATTGGGTAGTCAGCCATGCATTTAGAACCAAGCACTAAACCAAGGACAGCTTCTTAACTGACATTTGATATGTAAATGTTTTTCCTGAGACTGTCCAAGGATATCCCAATTGGCCCTGATCCATCTTGGCACAGCTTAGCCCTTCCTCCTGCCCTTAGGCACCAAGGTGTGCTTCCATCCACAGGTCCGAAATAGCCTGAAGCCTGCCGGTCCTGACTAGTCTGTCTCTTGGCACCCTCTATTCTTGGTATCCAATTCTCATACACCAGGTTTTTCCAGAACACTGCTTATACCAGTCCCACCTGGATGGTGCTCCAAGTTGGTCATGGTCCAGTCTCTGGGAAGACCATTTCAAGAACAAAGCCATCCCTTATCTCCACTACTAACTGTGCCAACAACATGCCCTCAGGGCTATGAATATGAACCCAGTGGCTTTTTCCTGTTTGTTCTTTGGCATTCTTAAAAGTCACAATGATTAGGCTTTACTTACTGCAAGCAACACCTATGAAGCAATTCCACCCTGTGGGCTGAAGACCCAGCTGGAGGCAGCTAGGGCCCTGCACAGCTCTTACAAGGCTGAGTCGAAGGGATCTGTCTAGCTGAGCACCTTGGTAGAGCATTTGAGGAAGAATTCATTTGACAAGGTTCTACTCTCTGCAACTGAAGGGTGGATGTCTCCACTGACCACTCTCAGTTCCAAGAGACCACATGCATTCCTGGCCAGGTGACAGTCTCCTTTTTGGTGGAGACTCTCACATCAGATTGCTCTCTGCCTGAACGAAGTGGCACACACCCATAGCCTCAGCATGTGGAAAAGTGAAAACAGAAAACTCAGGGGTTCATGGTTAGCCTCTAAAAAATGACAAGTTCAAATCCAGCCTGGGCTATATGAACCTTATCTCATAAAACAGAAAAAAATGGCTAAGGTTCTGAATTTCTAGCTCCCTGCCTTTGACCTATAGGCTCAGGGTTAAAGAATCAAGTGATTGGCTCAGCCTCCCTCACCCCTCCCCCATCTAGCTTCAAGTCACCTGCCATAAGACCTTCATTACACGTGCAAAATTCTTTCAAAACAACGCCTAATATTGGTGTTTGGATAACTCAGGGTTTGTGTCAACTCAAGGCAGGAATGAGGAGGACCACGATAAACTTATGCCCATCCATTCACCACTTTTGTCTGTTTTGTTGCTTTGGTTGATTGTTTAAGATGGGGTCTCACTCTATAGCCCAGGCAGGCATTGAGCTTTGAATTTTGCTGTTGTGGTCTCTTCGGTATTGGTATTACAGGTGTGTGCCACCCTTCCCTCAAATTGAAAGCACACACAAAAATATACATCACTCAGCTTGACAGATTTTCATGTCTGATCCAGAATCGAACACAACTAGATACTTGGCTCTTGCCTATAATTCCAGAACTTGGGAGGCCAAGGCAGGAAGATTACTGTGATATTTAAGGCAGCTTGGGCTATACAGTGAGTTCCAGGCCAACTTGAGCTATGATGTAAAGCATGTCAGAGAGAGAATGGGAAGGGGTGAGGGCTCCATCAGTTTGGAGGTCCTGTCTCAGAAAATAAGGCACCAATACTGAATGATAGCTCAGCAGGTAAAAGCACTGTCACAGAACCTCCAACAGTCTGCGTTCTGTCCCTGGAACCCAAGGTAGAAGGAAAGAACTAACCCCAAAGCTGACCCCTGACCTCCACGTGTGTCCAGGTACACACACTAAAACAGAAATTAACTAATAAAATGAAGGTAACATGGAGAGTTATTGAGGAAGATACCTGTTGTCAACATCTGGCCTCCACATGCATGTGTATACACATGTAAGTGTACTCACACAGGAATACATATGTACACATAAACCATACAGTCATACACAAAAATAAAGGTAAGCTTTTGAGACAGGGTTTCCCTATGTGGCCCAGGCTAGTCTTCCAAGTGTTAGGACTGCAGGCACAGACTGGTATGAACTATGGTTAACTATAGTTCCTGTGTTCTTTAACTTATTTTTTTTTTTTTTTTTTGGTTTTTCGAGACAGGGTTTCTCTGTATTGTTTTGGAGGCTGTCGGTCCAGCCTGGCCTCGAACTCGCAGAGATCCACCTGCCTCTGCCTCCCGAGTGCTGGGATTAAAGGTGTGTGGCACCACCGCCCGGCAACTTCTGTCTTCTTATGCTTTTATTCTTTGGCACTGTTTTAATTTCCTCACTAAAGTTGTACTGACAGTGAAAACCAAACATACCCCAAAGCTCGGAGCCTGAGCTCAGGGGGAGGGTGGTAAGCTGTAGTGGGAAATCAGAGGCTTAGGGGACCAGAAGATGTGCTGGAGGTCAGGGGATTTGAACTCCCCAAGGGGAGGACCCCCAGATTGCACAGCCTATGTCCCTTGCCTTGAGCCTCGGAGTAGTGAGTCATTCTGCTGCCTTTCCCAGGTTCTCCAACTCCGTGGCTTACTATGGCCTGGCCATGGACCTGCAGAAGTTTGGACTCAGTATCTACCTGGTACAGGCTCTGTTTGGGATCATCGACATCCCAGCCATGCTGGTCGCTACCACCACCATGATTTATGTGGGACGACGGGCCACAGTGGCCTCCTTCCTCATCCTAGCTGGGCTCATGATCATCGCCAACATGTTTGTCCCTGAGGGTGAGTCATCATTGCTGTCCTGTGGTAGTCACATGGACATGGGTCCCAGAAGCAATAAGAGCCCCTCTGGAGCCGGGCGGTGGTGGCGCACGCCTTTATTCCCAGCACTCGGGAGGCAGAGGCAGGCGGATCTCTGTGAGTTCGAGGCCGGGCTGGTCCGACAGCCTCCAAAACAATACAGAGAAACCCTGTCTCATAAAAAAAAAAAAAGAGCCCCTCTGGAGTTCCGCCAGCAACATACCTATTACTTGCACCCTCGGAAGGCTGAGGCAGAAAGAGCATCAGTTCTAGGTCAATCTGGACTAGAAAGTGAGACCCTGTCTCAAAAAGAATAAAATGGAGACCTAAGGCACCATGCCAGAGAGGAATTTGTATAACTGATGCAGAACTGGGTTGGTGTGGATAATTCAGGGACTTTCCCCATAGCATCTCAGCGTGCATCCAGCTAACACCAATCTAAAGCTGGTACCACAATTTCTTTGAGCACTTAATGTGGGACATTTGAGTCAGGGTTTGCAATTTACACAAGCAACAAGACAAATATGTTAATGACATAATAGGAAATGCTTAGTGAGCACCAAACACTTTGCACTAGTGACATATGTCCACCTTATAACCCCTTCAAATAACTATGCAAAGCAGTGCTAGTATTTTCCCTACTGGCAGAACAGAAAGCCTCTGAGATCGGAGGTCATTGTGGCTTAAGTCACCTACCTGGGTCAGAGCTAGGGTTTGGACCAAAGCCTGACTGCAAACTTTGTCTTGTCTCCACTGAAGGCCATGGTCACAGATGCAAATAAGTGAGGAAGTAGAAGTCAGATGGGGCAGTGGATACCCTTTTGCCCTTCCTCTCCCTCCCTCCCTCCCTTCCTCCCTCCCTCCCTTCCTCCCTCCCTCCGTCTCTCTGTCTCTCTGTCTCTGTGTCTCTCTGTCTCTCTGTCTCTCTGTCTCTGAGACAGGGTCTTGTTATACAGTCCTGGCTGGCCTGAGACCTCTTTGCAGACAAGGCTGACCTTAGACAGAGATCTACCCACCTCTGTCTCCCAAGGACAGGGATTAAAGACTTCCGCCATCAACTCATGGCTTCCTCTTGTACCTCCTCCTCGCCCCAAGTTTTACCCTCTGGTCCTCTTTCCAATGCAAGGTCCCCCAGCCTTCCATTAGACCCTTATTCCAGCCTCAGCTCTGCATCCCTCTTTGCTCCTTAGACCTGCAGACCCTGCGGACAGTGCAGGCAGCGCTGGGCAAAGGTTGCCTGGCCAGCTCCTTCATCTGCGTGTACCTGTTCACAGGAGAACTCTATCCCACAGAAATCAGGTGGGTACGAGGAGTGGCACCCCGCCAGGCAGGGGTCCACTCCCCTCTCTGACACCCACAGGGTCTGACACTTTGGGGGCCCCAACTCAGCTGCTGACAGATCTGCTCTTCCCACAGGCAGATGGGAATGGGCTTTGCCTCTGTCAATGCCCGCCTCGGAGGCTTGGCAGCACCCTTGGTCAGCACACTTGGTGAGATCAGCCCTGTCCTTCCACCTGTGTCCTTTGGTGCCACTTCAGTCTTGGCTGGACTAGCTGTTGCCTGCTTCCTGACCGAGACCAGAAATGTGCCACTGGTGGAAACCATTGCTGCAATGGAGAGAAGGTGAGCGTCCTTGGCACTGTGGAGTATGGGACCAAATGGTTCCAGAGACACCTGGAAGTCAGAGTGATCTTTCATGGCTGTGCATAAAAACCCACTTCCGCCTCCCTCTATGATGGCTTCCTCTCAACCAGACTGGCCCAACAATGAAGAAAAAGAGACAGGATAGAAATAGACCAGGAGAGCCGGGCGGTGGTGGCGCACACCTTTAATCCCAGCACTCGGGAGGCAGAGGCAGGTGGATCTCTGTGAGTTCGAGGCCAGGCTGGACCGACAGCCTCCAAAACAATACAGAGAAACCCTGTCTCGTAAAAACCAAAAAAAGAGAAATAGACCAGGAGATACAGGAAGGGAGGTTGGGGGGGGGGGGCTCAGGAGGCAGCATGGTGGTAGAATGCTTGCCAGAATGACATAAACCAGGCATGGTGGCACACACCATTAATTCCAGCACTCAGAAGGCAGAGACAGGCAGAGCTCTGTGAGTTGAAGGCCAGCCTGGTCTGCATAATGAATTACAAGTCAACAACAGATCTCTAATGAGACACTGTTTCAAACAAACAAAACAAAAACTGAAAAATGGTTTGAACATTGGGATTTTTCTAAAAATGAAACCTGTTTAGAGTGGAGAAGTGGGCAAGTTGGAAATGGCTAAAACAGGAAAATGACAGCAGTTTCTATTTGCCTTTAAGCAGAGTCAAAGAAGGCCTATCCAAAAGAGACACAGAACGTAAAAGTGAAGAAATTTCTCTTCAACAACTGGGGGTTTCTCCCCTCAAAGAAACCATTTAAGCTGCCAAGAGCCTGTGCAGGGAGTGAGAGTGAGTGTCTAAGTTCCCCCTAAGGGGCCCTGGTGCAGAACTCCATGCAAAGCCAGAGGACATCATGGACTTTCCTGCAGAACCACACCCAAGCCCAAGCAGAAAGAGATAGCAGCCTGCAGGGACCAAAGGGAAGCATGCTGTCTGTTGCAATAAAAACACCGCCTTCCAGGTCCACCAGGGATGCTGGGTCTTTTCAGGGTCACAGTGCCATCAACACTCTATGGTTTCCCTGGTCAATTTTCTTAACCCCCCCCAAAATTCCAGAACTCTCTATTTAGCATGACTGTTCCTACAGACACATTGGAAGAAAGCTCATTTTCCCTGGGGGTGTGTGTGGCGGAGGGATGGTTGTGTCTCCCCAGGGTGGGTCTTCAGGCCTACAGTGGGCCTTGCAGTTGGAATAGCTGGTGAGAAGTGAGGCGAGAGTCATGGATGCATGGGCATCTGCCTGTTGTTAGCTTTCAAAGCAGTAACACTTTGCAGAAGTGGGACCTGGTGCAGGTTCCCAGAAGTCATAAAAGGGACTGAGAATGTCTCTGACATTCACAGCTTCTCTCTGACTTCAGGTCTGCTTACAGTCCAGACTTTGGACATATTCCCATATCCTTGGTGTGAAATTTGCTATGTAGATCAGGCTTGCCTTGGATTTACAGAAATCTGCATGCCTCTGCCTCCCAAATGCAGGGGTTAAAGGTATGTGCCATCTCCCCTGGCCATATTTAAATTTTTATCGTATTTTTATTTTTTAAGGATTAATTAATTCTTAAGGTTTATTTATTTTATGTATATGAGTGCTCTATCGACTTTATGCCAGAAGAGGGCATCAGCTCCCAATATAGATGGTTGTGAGCCAACATGTGGTTGCTGGGAATTGAACTCAGGACCCCTGGAAGAGCAGCCAGTACTCTTCACCTCTGAGCGAACTAACTCTCCAGCCCTTTATTGTTTTTTTTTTTTTTGAGACAGGGTTTCTCTGTATTGTTTTGGAACCTGTCTTGGAACTCGCTTGGTAGACCAGGCTGGCCTCGAACTCACAGAAATCCGCCTGCCTCTGCCTCCCGAGTGCTGGGATTAAAGGCATGCGCCACCAACGCCCAGCCTTTATTGTATTTTTAAAGATTCTGTAGCTCTGAAAATATGGCAGTCATCCAGACATGGAGAATATGAATTCAAGAGAGTGTCCTGCCCAGAGTAGTCTTAAGAAATCTGACCCATGACCGCACAATAAATCCTTCCAGGGATTAGTAGGTTAGACCAACAAAGATAATTCCTTCCAATGACACTCAAAATTAGGATGTTCGCGAAAGATTTGTCTTTCAAATGCTTAGTTTTTTCCGCAATACATTTTTTATAATATCATGTGAATATAAAAGTTAAGTAGACTGGGCTGGAGAGATGGTTCAGAGGTTAAGAGCACTGACTGCTCTTCCAAGGGTCCTGAGTTCAATTCCCAGCAACCACATGATGGCTCACAATCATCTACAATTCAATCTGGCATGTAGGCAGAACACTGTATATGTAATAAATGAATACATCTTTTAAAAAAAAAGGTGCCGGGCAGTGGTGGCACACGCCTTTAATCCCAGCACTCGGGAGGCAGAGGCAGGCAGATCTCTGTGAGTTCGAGGCCGGGCTGGTCCGACAGCCTCCAAAGCAATACAGAGAAACCCTGTCTCGTAAAAGCCAAAAAAAAAAAAAGGTAAGCAGACATCCCACCAAGCAGGGAACAGTTGTTTGTGCAGAAATGCTGCGGCAGGTTTCCACTGGCTCAGCAGTAGAGTACTCCCCTAGGGAGTAAGGACACTTTGCTTCAGAAGCTTGCAGGCTTGACCCACGTCTATCTTGAAGTCCTTCAGCTGTGGTAGCCTGGCATGATGGCATTGATGGAAGTCCAAGAGATTCTCAAGAGCATGGGCCAGTTTTTGTGGGTGCTCTGAGGTCTGCCAACGACCCTTACCCTCAATTTCATACTCGCCTCATGAGCTAGGATTCTGAAGTCCCTGGGTCAGTGACCTGTCCTTTGAGTGCAGGGAGTGCAATCATTTTATGCCCAGGCTGGAAAGACCCTCCCCTGGCCAGGGGACCCTAAACCAGCTCCCCTGACACTCGACTTCCTCAGCGGATGTGCGTCTGCTGAGAATGTGGCAGGAGCCAGGCATCAGGACAGAACAGGGAGTGTTCTGACAGGGAAATACCAGTCCAAACATGAGCTGTGTTCAATCCCAGCGGGGATGAGGGTGAGGAAGAAGAGACCACAGAGGCCAAGCAAGATGACACTGGGAAAATGTTGCAGGGATGAGACAAGAAACAAGGAGCTGGGTCTGGAGAGATGGCTCAGAGGTTAAGAGCACTTACTGCTCTTCCACAGGTCCTGAGTTCAATTCCCAGCAACCACATGGTGGCTCACAACTGCCTTGAATGAGATCTGGTGCCCTCTACTGTCATGCAGGCAGAAGACTGTATACACAATAAATAAATTAAAAATTAAAAAGAAAGAAAGAAAAAGAAACAAGGAGCTGGAGTTAGCTCTAGGAGCTGTGAACATTCCAGTAGGGTACAGGGAGGAACAGTCATGTGTCAGATGTCCTCCTGGGTCAGGTTGAGAGGAAGAATTGGAGAGAAGAGACTGAACAGATGGGTCATATATTAGTTTATGAGAGGTCACAATGGTCTCAACAGGGAGTGATGGTGTAGGGATGGGGAAGCGGCTCAGCAGTAGAGTGTTCACCTAGGGCATGAAGACGACCTGGAGACGGACCTAGCTGAGTAGGTGCTGGATGACCTCAAGTGCTGCACCACTCCCTCCGTGTCCCTAAACCTCCCTGCTCTCACCTCAGGTCCTCAGAGGTGGCCTGCCTCCCTCCTGCCTCCCTCCCTCCTCCCCTCCCCCCCCTTCCTTTCCTTCCCTCCCTCCTCCCCTCCCTCCCTTCCTTTCCTTTCCTCCCTCACTCCTTTCCCTACTTTTCCTTCTTTCTTTGTCTTGGCTTTGGCCTTTGGAGGTTGCCTTAAGAAACACTACTTTCCTTTCCTTTCTTCCTTCCTTCCATTCCTCTTCCTTTCTTTCTTTGTTTGTTTCTTTCTTCCTACCTTGTCTTGGTTTTAGCATTTTGGGGTTGCCTTAAGAAACACCACTTTTGCCAGGGAGTAGTTTGTAGGCCTTTAATTCCAGCACCCAGGAGGCAGAGGCAGGCAGGTTCTATGAGTTCAAGGTCAACTTAGTCTACAGACCTAGTTCTAGGACAGCCAAAGCTACACAAAGAAAACCTGTCTCAAAAAACCAAACCAAACAAAACCAAGACAAAAAACAACACACTACTTTTACCAGGCATGGTGGTGCACAGCTTTAATCCCAGCACTCAGGAGGCAGAGGCAGGTGGACCTCTGAGTTCAAGACCAGCCTGATCTACAGAGTGAGTTCCAGGACAGCCAGGGCTACACAGAGAGATCCTGTCTCAAAACAAAGCAAAACACTACTTTGGGAGCTACAAAGATGGTTCAACATTTATTTATTTATTTGTTTGTTTTGTTTTGTTTTTCAAGACAGGGTTTCACTATATAGCTTTGGAGGCTGTCCTGGAATTCCCTCAGTAGACCAGACAGACCTCAGATTCACAGAGATCCACCTGCCTCCGCCTCCCGAGTGCTGGGATTAAAGGCATGTGCTACCACCACCCGGCTGGTTCAACATTTTAAGAGACTTGCTTCTCTTGTAAGGACCCAGGTTCAATTCCCAGCACATAATGGCTCACAACTGTCTGTAACTCCAGTTCTAGTGAAATAAATGTCCTCTTCTGGCCTCCTCAGCATCATGAATGAATGCAATACACAGACATACATGAAGGCAAAACACTCATATGCATAAAATAATAAAAGTCAAAAGAAACATGACTTTGCTTTATTTATTTATCCATTCATTTTTGAGACAGGGTCTCCTGTAGCCCAGGCTGATTTTGAACTCCTTATGTATAGCTAAGGATAACTTCTGGTCCTCCTGCCTTTATTCCCAAGTGCTGGGATTAACAAATGTGCCAACAGCCCTACTCATAAGATGTTAGGGGTCAAACCCAAGACTTGCCAAGCAAGCACTCTATCTAATCTCTATAAACAACTGTTAATTGGTTCACAGTTCGTAGCCTCTCATTATCAAGAAAATCTTAAACCTCAGTTATCAAGTGTGCAGCAGTCCTGAAATGAAACCCAGGCACTGTGCAACCCTGCTGCTACCTGGTGGCCAATTTCCTGCAGCCCTACCCAGTGCTTTGGCTATTATTGTGATAAATCAGTTAAGACTTTGTTTTGTTTTTCTGTTCAATAGTCTTAGAATGTGGCCCAGGTTGGCTGAAATCTCAGTCAATCCTCTTGCCTCAGCTTCTCAAATGTTGGGATTGCAAATATGAGGCAACATGGCCAGGTCAATGAGACTTTAAAAAAAAAAAGCTTATTTGCATTTTTGTTTTGAGACAGGGTTTCACTCCCTCTGTAGACCAAGCTGGCCTCAAACTCAGAGATCCACCTGCCTTTGCCACCCAAGTGCTGGGGATAAAGGTGTGTTCTTTATGAGAGTTTGTGAGTACCTCAGTATGTCTATCACTTTTGTGTAGGAGCCTGTGGAGGCCAGGTGTCAGACCCCCTGAAATTGGAGTTAGAGGTGGTTGTGAGCCACCACATGAGTGCTGGGACCAAATCCAAGTCCTTTTCGGGAGCAGTAAGCAAGCACAACCACAGCTCCTGTTTGGTGTTTCTTTGTTGTGTTTTTGAGATACCGTCTCTCTGTATAGCCTTGGCTGGAACTTGCAGAGATTTCCCATCTCAGTCTCCAAGTGCTGGGATTACAGGTGTGTCCTTTGTTGTTGTTGTTGTCGTTTTTCAAGACATGGTTTCTCTGTGTAGTCCTAGCTGTCCTGGACTCGCTCTGTAGACCAGGCTGGCCTTGAACTCAGAGATCTTCTTGCCTCTGCCTCCTGAGTGCTGGCTGGGATTAAAGATGTGGGCCACCACACTGGGCTCACACTGTTTTCTTTTCTCTTTTTTTTTTTTTTTTGTTTTGTTTTTTGTTTTACGAGACAGGGTTTCTCTGTATTGTTTTGGAGGCTGTCGGTCCAGCCTGGCCTCGAACTCACAGAGATCCGCCTGCCTCTGCCTCCCGAGTGCTGGGATTAAAGGCATGCACCA